CTCGAAAAGGGCGCGGCTTCACTGGCATGGGAACGAAGTGGGATCATATATATATAATAACATTTTAACTTAATTATTACTTTCTTTGAGGATCAACTCTTCTCCTTCTTGAGTTGGTTTTGCAAGGTTGATCGCCAGCTGAGGCACTTGCTGGATTGCTTTGCGCCATCCAAGAGCAGAGGAGCCGCTACACCGCCGGCGCGGTGTCCCGTCTTTTGCTTCTGCAAGGGGGAACAAACTCACCGGTGGGAGCACAGGAGGTGTGAGGGTCAAGAACTGAAGCGCGGGCGGAGGGCAAGATGGTCCCGGCATGTTTTGTAAATTTTAATTTTTGGGGTCTTGTTGAGAGCACTTTTAATCCACGGGGCTTTCTACTTTGCCCCGTGCCGACTTTAAACATTACTTTGATTTAAACAATCCATTGGGGCCCATGTGAATCATGTGAATAGCACAACACCTGACAAAGACTGTAGCTGGCCGTGCACGAAGCTTTGGTTTGGTGAGTGATTCTGCTGGTTGAATGGACGAGGGGCATGTGCAGCACATGAACCGAATCTCCACGGCATCGAGATCTTGGCGGAGCACGACCGGTGGGCCAGCTGGGGAACAAATGACGCTTTTGGACCTAAGAGGGAGCCAGATGCAATGGAACGCAGTGGATGGAGAAAGCAGAGAGGAGGGGAAAATGAAATGAAGGTCACGGTCACTTTGACAATTGGTGATTTCAGGTGGCGACGGAGGAAACACTTGGAGCTTTGTAAGACGATTGCACCATGTGTCAAACAAATGTCCATTTTGCTTGCGGCTTCAAGGCCTGCCCGGAAAAGACTCTGAGGGACATCACCCTGCTAGCCGCTAGCTAGCCTTGCGTCCAGCGACCTCACCCCTGCGCAGATAGGCCGCAAAACCAGGACTTCTTGATCGCCTGGGTGACTGGTGCTGTCACCTCCCAGTCTCAGATTACATCATAGCATATTTAGGCATGATCCTTACGGTCACCGTGGTTATATGGCTGTGCGTTTCACAGTCTTGCAAGTCATCCATGTCAAGACAGCCAGGACCCGTGCCTGCGACGTCCTGGAGTCCCTCAAGCGTGTGAAGGCGAAGAAGATGGGCGAAGAAAATTGGCTTTTGGGTGTTTGAAGATGTCTCGTCCAAGAACTGGGTGGCCGTGGTGATCTAGGTTTTTAAGGAGCTGCAATTTCAGCTGGGCGAAGAAGGTCGATACCCTCGTTGGACACCTTTGTTGAGCATTCATTAAAACACTCAACAAAAATTCAGCTGAAAAGACATGACATCCTCTCCAGCAATTTCAGGGGCGTCATTGGTTGGACCATGTTGGACTATATTACTATATAATTGGTTGGGCGATAGATGACAATAAATATATATATATATATGTAATTATGTATATAATGTATACTGTATACATGCCAAACATCCCGAAAGCAAGCAACCCGCATCTGGGTGCTATGCCAAGTGGTTGGTTTAAAACCAGGTAAGAACGGCTTCACAATTTGTTGCCCTAATCATCTCACAATCTCACAGGATTGACACAACTAAATTATAGAATGGTCTTGTACTGTGCTACAGGCATAGCTACAGGGCCGCTCCATCGTGGCTGCATTAGACAAAACGGACATATCATAACGGCCGCTGGGTGTCATCGTTGTCGTCCTCATCCTCAGCTTCATCCTCATCGTCATCGTCATCATTGTTGCAAGCATTTCCCACAACAAATTATCATACCATTTTACTTCTCCAGCGGTTTTGTGACCACACTGTCACCTGGGTTTGTATTTGGAGATAGTGTGTGTGAAAGCAATGTGGCATATATATGATCGAGATGACATGTCATTGACTTCATCCAAGGTTGTTTTTACAAATAAGCCGCCTAGATGTAGGCTTTTTTCAGGGTTCAAACTGCGCACTGTAATAGACAGTTGAAGGTGAGCTGTCAGCGGGATCGCGGATTATCCGCGGTCCGCAGTACATCACCTCAAGTGTTTGACTCAATTTGTGTCCCCACCTGCTGACCAACCTGTGGACACAAACGCATAGGTTTAGCCATCGACCGACCCCGCGCCATCGAACAGAGCTAGAGGGTTCCAATGGTTAGATCAGCTGGAAACCCGACTGGTGGCAGGAAGCATCAACCAAAATCCATCAGAGACACTGTGTGCAGTGGTGCGTTGTTTCTTTTTTCACGTTTCTGAGGCGCGCTTTGACGTTGGCAGCGTGCCAGCGTCGACCACCTGGTGGCAAAGCCAACAGGAGGAGGCCGGTGTTTCAAATGTCCAGATGTTCAATTCAAGGCCCCATCATGGACAACAGCCACGTTCAGCCTGGTCCTAGCGAAACATCCATCCCAGGTCCGAGGTGTTTGAGCAGAGCTTATAAGGATTTTACCCCAAAGAAGATTATGAATCAGATCGAATCAGCATGTCTTCAAGCCAGAGCCCAAAAAAACTGTCTTTTTCTTGGAGGCTTGGCTGAAGCCACTTGATACCCTTCATCCCTTCACAAACGGCCGTGAAAACGGCCACGCTCCGCCCACTTCAGGCGACGCTGGGCCGATCACAGGAGCTGTCCCGACCCCCTCTGCGGGTCACCCGGCAGGGTGAAGAAGCGAGGATGCCTTTTTGGGGGTCAGACTAGCCTTCTTTGTCCGATCCTGGTCTAGTGAGTCTAGTGATGGTTGTGGAAGATTTTGTAGAACTGTCAAGTTTGGGACTCTTTCTTGAGAGGGTGGTGGGTCACGGGAATCATATATACATGTGCTTCAATGTTCTTCCACAGTAGGTCGAGAAAAGACTAATACTGTAAGCTAAGCCTCAGATTGACTCGTTTGAGGGATTACACCGTCTTGACATCCATGTAAACTTGACGCACGAGTTTACATGGAAGTTGAAGTCATTCCATGAAAATCCCTTAGAAAGTCATCCCTCCAAAAGCATTGTCCGCTTCGATGCGATGTTTTCGCTCCGATGGGAGGAGATGGAGAGCTCGGAAGTCGAGGTGCTGCTGGGAAGTGCTAAACCCGTGGAAACCACGCATCACAAGCAAGATATGTGTTTATTGTTTTCCTTTTTGTGGGGTGGCAGTAGCACATGGGCTTTCTGAAAGGTTTTGAGAGGTACAAAAGTTGATGGTTAGTAGAATTATGGTCAGTTGATAGGCGCTATATATATAACTAGATAGATAGATACGATGATCATAATACATACCTGGTTCTTGAAAGTCACCTTTTGATATCCCGGCTTGAGGTCACTTGGGTCTGTAAAAGGTCACTTAGGAACTCCAAAGAGGTCACTTTGAAGAACCTGGTACTTGATTTTTAGTTACATAATTGCTTAAATTGTAGTTATCACTATGATTTATAGTGTTACTGCCTTGATTTGAGGGACCCTTGGGATCAAGTGTCAGTCTTGGTTGAGGAAAGGTTCGAAAGATCGAATCATATTGTGCATGTTACAGTGCAGCATCGACATCCAGGATTTGCGGGATCCCGAACCATGCGACTGGAATACGCCTACATTAACCCATCCATGTAGGCAAATATTCCATAGATTGTTTGGGTACGGCTTTAAGTTAATGCACCTTCAATCTGATATGGCCCACACTAGGTCTCCATAGTTTTAGTCGACATAATTCAGAAAGGAACCCTTGCGGGTCTTGGCAGTCAATATTAATGGAAGCGTCGCCCGTTCCAACTTTGGCAAAGAGAGCTGAATTCCAAGAAGGTGACATCTAATCATATCTAATTATCTAACCACTTTGAGATGAGGATCCATGTGAAACCAACCACTCACAAGGTCACTGTTGGAAGACGCTGGTTCAGACTTTGAAGATTGAGCCGGCTAGGATGACTGCTAGGATCATGTGTTGATCAGTTCTTATTCCCTAAACCATTTGATCACTACATTCCATGCATTCCCTGTTGGTTGCTCACCGCACCACACGACGGAGAAGACCGGCCCACGCCGGACCTTCGAGACCGGACCGAGCTCCAGCTCAGGGCAGGGGGACATGTCTGATTGGCAGAGGGGCTGGTGGGATTCTATCATGTTATGCAAAGCACCCGTTAAATGCCAGCCATGCACTCATCGGACGCCATTTGTGTGTGTTCCAGCTCATTGCTTTGCCGCGTTGTGCCAGCAATTTTATGGCTCAGTCGTGCCAAATCACTCTAAGGAGTTAACATTTTAGGGCCCGAAAGCTGTATTTCAATTCATGTTCTGAGGAGTGATTTGCTGCCCCTGTTTTACATGCAGCCAAGCTTGCTGGACAAGTGAGCGGTGCCAGCAAAATCCACTGCAGGAAGTTCCCCTGGGGCCACAACACTTGAAGTGGTTACAGTATATTATAGGTAATACACAAGTGCCCCAGCCTGGTCCCTACACCAGATCATGCTGGCCAAAGCGGTTATTTACAAGCGGTTATGCCAGTGGCACAGTCAGCCCTTGCCATGGCAGATGAGACGAGCGCATGGCCTTTGTCTGCGATCACCGATTTGAGCGAACGCATCGCTGCCTGCGAGTCTCGGGCTGGGCACAGTCAGGGCATTTGTTTTTCTACGATTCTACGACGGATGTTGAGAATGGATGAACATATTGCACCATATGTTTTGGGCATTCCATACTTTAACCACATTGGATAGTAACATTGTATATATATAAATATCAATGATTACCCATGTGTTCAATTCCCAATTCTTCGGGATGTCCCAGCCTGGTGGGCGCCATTTTCGGCATGTTGCCCAAATTGGACATCCAGAGAAGACGTCACATGCGACAGGGCGAGTTGAGGAGGAAAAGGAGTGAGGATCGAATTGCCGAAGATGCGCTGAAAACTCCAGGTCCTGGGGTTTTCCTGGTCCTGATCTTACTGTGCTATTTGCAGAATGGTTTTGGACACTGCCCCGGTATATTGGCGATACTGCCATTGGCTTTTGAACCTATGTCTTGTAGCTTGTGGCCCGCACCCACCCCGCTCTGGGGCTCGAAGGAGGCATTCGTATCAGGATGTGCTATGGCCAATGGCCATGTCAGCTTACAAACTTGAATCTAAAGCAGCATTGAATCAACAAGAGATGGCCGTCATGTCAGCAATCCTAACTGGGGTGGCGCTCTGAATCTTGTTTGCCAGAATGTTTGTTCAACAGTGGCAGCAACGACCCATTTGGCTTTCGTTTTCCTAGTGCATTATAATTATATATAATTATATCTGAGTTTCCCAAGTCCCAAGTAGTAGCGTGCCCATAAAGATAGGTTGTTGGGGACTGTTTTCTGGCTCCGTGGGTTTTGCCGTTCTCCGACATGTCGAACTGTTGGATCTGAAGACCGGGACCTCCTTCAGTGCAGAGGAGCAACAGCTGGGTGTGTCACCAAGCTCGCCAAGCTCTGCACCCGCTCAGCCAAGAGCCCACGCCCGGGTGGCAGAGCTGAAACGAGACTTGGCAGAAGTTGCTGAGATGAAGAGCACATTTGTGTGAAGAGGGTACCGGCACCACCTTGGAATCATTGTGGATCTATGGTGCTTACAGTTGGTCTATAGATAGCAGCTTGGACAATCAGTAAACGCAAATCAATTTTGTCTAGTCTTTTCTTGGAAGATGGCAACCCGTTGCCAGACGCATCTGGTCAGAACTGTTAGTGAATGTTGTTGAAATCCGTTTTCACAAGTCCAGTGCTGCGCAGAGTGTAATTGTCAGTGACTGTGTCCCTACTTCCCAGCCTGTCAGGCATGTTTGGTCAGTTCTCCCTCTCTCCATCCTCACTCCTTTTTGTCAGAATGCATGACTGGTGGTGTGCCAAAGATTTGTCCGGCATAATTGAATGTACGTGTGTTTGCATTTGGTGAGGAAATATGCCAACCGCCAACTAAAGTCCCAGAAGGTTCTCAGTTAAATGCACATGTCAGAGTACGTGTTAGGATGAAAAAGGGGTGGACATGCCCGACAAAGTGCAGGTACATTTGTATCAGCTGCCGTTTTAGATGTCAGGCAGGACGTCAGTACCTCAGGTCATTTGTCCAAAACGTTTGTATATCTTCCATCTTCAATCCAGGGATCGCAATCTTGCATCCCAAGTCTGACAGCTGTTCAGACTTGAAAATCCCAATGTCTGATTTTGTGTAAGTATAAGCCTTTGGAAGAGCATCAAAGGTAGATCTCAGGGAGTGGGTGGATCTCAGGGAGTACCATATCGTATATAAGATATATATATATACACGTGATATATATATATATATGATATATGTGTGTGTTCTGAATTATTCCACATTGTTCAGGGTGAGCATCGCTTGAAACACTGTAGATTCAAAAAATATACAAAATGAATTTGAGTGCTGCAGCCGCTGAGTGCTGAGATCGATTCTGCAGGATGCTTTGTGCTTTGTGCCTTCCCTCTAAGGCAAGCTGGATGAGATTGGCAAGTCCTCCAAGCTGATGCCCAAACTCCAGGAGAGCCGAAAGCGACGGCTTGTTGTTTCGATGGTTTCTTTGACGTCTCTCCCCGGACCCCGAACTCTTGGGGGGGGTGAATGGAGGCCGAGGCGATCGGGGCGATGAGACGGCACTGGCGACACTGGGAGTTGGTGACCAAACACCACTGATAAGCGTCTAAGTTGGGGGCGGCTGCTTGGACCTTAAGCCTTAAGCAGGTCTTGGATCATGGGCACCTGGTCTAGCTCAATGTGGTGAGTGCACAATGTTAATGCGAGGATCACTTCGACTGCGCCCCGTGTGGACTTCTTGTTTAAACAGATACGGCCTACCTTTTGGCGCCTTTTCGGGGCTTGTGAATATAAAGGCTGGGGGTGTCCTATTGCCTGTCACAGTCGGCAAACAGTTATCATTATTTTAGAGACAGGCTTGCAACCTAACCATCATCATCCACTGGGCCCAGTGAATGGGATAGACCCAAATTAGGTCAATCTTGCGCCACCATGGATCCTGGAAGGGCCCCACAAGAACACCCCATCGACCCGGTTTCCGCGGCGTTGTCGCCCGTGTCCTCCGGCGGTTTTTCTCGTGGCCTTCGGTCGAATGGGCGCGAGCCGAGTGCGAGCGGCTGTAGCTCCGAACAGTCAGGAGCTGGAGCACAGCGACCTGGCTGAGAGTGACCGAACTTGGGAGGACCCACTGAGGTCGTTTGGGTGTTGCCAAATGGTAGAAACACGAGGTCCAAAAAGGCGTGGCCAAACGATTTGGGTGTTGAACTCGTGGCGAAGCTGAGTTGTTTTTGCAGAAGTTTCCTGGGTTACTCTTTTCTTCCAGCAACTTAAGGCGAACGAATACCAAACAAAACGATTACAGGATCCAATGGGTTTGGCCCAACTGCATCCCGGAGATTGTTTCTGAGGTGTGCCCCATGGAGAGACATGGTGACCAGGGACAGTCGCTTTTTCAGCTTTTCAGGGTCACACGTGAGTCAGACGTTTTGTAAGTGATGCGTAGGAATTCATGTTTTGACAAGGTTGAGTCATTCCCCTTAAGCTCCGCACTCAAGTTGGGTGCTTGAACATGCGGAGATCCAAGGAGGATGCCTCAGTTGCAGGACCCAATATTCATCAATTGTCAATATTCTACTGTTATATGATTGCTGCAGTATGCAGGATATGCGTGAAGTCAAGTATACACGTGCAGCTACGAAGAGTAAGCTAGACTGAAAGTGTATATATATATAGAAAGATGTGATGTGTTTCCTTCAAATCTCAAGACCATGCAATTTTTTCCTGCAAGTTGTCCACTGTCCTGTACTACTACGGTTGTGTCATGTTGAAGTCCTTTGACATTTTGCAAATTTGCTGAGGTATGGATCAGTTGGAAGACTGGCTGCATACCGAACACGCGGGCGCTTCACAGATCCTCTTGTCACTCTAAATCGCACTGATCGTCCGATGGACCTCGGACTCGCTCCGAATTCCGCTCGGCGAAATCGATGGACCATCGCCTGATGGCAGCATGTGTTTCCCTACCCAGGAAGTGTGGATCGCCTGCATGGTCACCATTTTTT